CTATGCACTCAAAAACTACAAGAAATAGTAAAACTTCATGCAGAATACTCATAACTAGTTGTTGCCAAGTTTTCGGATACATTTTTGTATAAATAGCTGATTTTTTTCCTATTCTACTTCTAGTTTTGAATCGCACTTGACAAAAAATGGTGACGTCAAAACAATGTTTACATACTCTGATACAAACCCGGCAGTCGGCCAATCAGAACGCGCGTAGTATCCAAGTTATTTTATAATTGTTAATATCAAACTTGCAATCGGGTTTTCGTAGGTTTCATTCTACTCTAACAGTTCAGCTTTGCTTGCAATAATTTGGCCTAATATTGATCGCGGTAACGTTAATGCAGTAGTTATTGATGGTTTCCAACCATTCCCATGAGAGTGAGCAAAACAAAAAGGTCCACCAGTCATGGTGGTTTTCTTTTGTCAGGTGCACCAGCAATGGCGGACATCTTTTATTTAAATTTCTCTCCTGGGAATGGTTGAAAAACATCACTTCTTGATCTCAAAAAAGCTTTCGATACGGTTGATCACGAGATTCTGCTTTTCAAAACTTTTGCAAGTGACAGTTTGACAGACATAAATACTTCTTTAAATGAAGATCTTGCAAATGTTAGTCGCTGGCTTGTTGCTAATAAGCTCTCACTTAATCAATCTAAAACTGAGTTTATGTTAATTGGTTCAAGGCAGAGACTGTGCACACTTCAATCCACCGTTAGTCCGATGATTAATGGTGAGCCTGTTAAGCAGGTGTCTCACGCGAAATTCCTTGGTGTGCAAATTCACGAGAATCTATCTTGGAATGTGCACATCCAGGGATTAGCCAAAAAGATTGCATCTGGTATTGGGGCATTAAAACGCGTGAGACAATCTGTGCCTATCACTACTCTAATATCGATATTCAATTCACTAATACAACCTCATTTCGACTATTGTTGTGTTGTATGGGGCAATTGCGGTAAAAACCCTTGCTACTAAGTTGCAAAAGCTCCAAAATCGGGCTGCAATTGTCTTGACCTTTTAAAAATGTACACCTTTATTGCTAAAACGTTGTCATAGAGAAATTCGAAGCTTTGGTCATTTACGCTGGAAGCTTTTCATCGTGTATTTCTAAATATACATTGGGATACAATTTTGTAAAATTTTGAAAAATTGCAGTCACATTTCCTTTCCCTCGTCTTGTAAAAAATTGCATAACATTACATGACAATTGTACTTACTATCCCATGATACATCAGAATAGCCACCAAAGATGTAACTACCAACACGAACAATGGTAACTGTTGGTCCTTGCTTGTCACACTTGGGGTGGAATGTCTTAGTCACATTCCATCCATCAAAAGCAGCTCTCCAACATCTCACCCAACGACTTTTACTTGCATCTTGAAGCACTGGACTCAAGAAMCCAGACAAGTCCTGCCAATATTGGTTGCTGCCGTGAAAACGGAGAATAACGGAATTCTTCAAGGTAACTTCAAGAAAGTAATAAAATCATAAAGATGAATTGATGAATTGCAATCCATGCTCCATGCCATGAAGGGCTGAGTAATTCGTGGAATGGCATATTTAAAGGATATTCTAGTAATTTTTCAATCAAATTGTCAACCAAAACCGGTTACTTAAAAATGGTTTTGCGACGCGTCGACCGCCGAAGACGGGAATATATAGGGGGTCCGGTGGCATGCTCCCCCGAAAAATTTTGAAATCTAAACCGTCAAAAATGCGATTTCCAGCATTTTCAGTGATATTTACAAGGATCTTGTTAAGTTTTTTTTTTTTCAAGAAAAAGGGAGGCCGTGGCCCCTTCCGCCGCTGTGCGTGTGAAGTTATGAAGTTCGGAGTAAGAAGTTCATAGTCATTACGAAATCAATAAGACGTCTGTTCCTGGGTTTCATTTGTACTGGCAAAGAGAATTTGTTTTACATCGCTTATAAAAAAATTACTAACAGCTGCATACATACCAGGGCATGACTGAGTGTTGCAGTTCTTTGTCTCCTTGTAAGGTCCAGTACAGTTCTTTCCACCATGAGCAGGTGCTGGGTTGGTGCAAGAACGACTTCGATATCGTGTGCCATTACCACATGACAGAGAACAAGATGTCCAGTTGCTCCACTCGGTAAAATTACCATTCACTGAAAGATATGCAAAAGGAGACTAAATTTGATTTTCTTGTAAAATCATAACTCCTGCTTTGTGCAATATACACCTATTTAAAAAATCGTTGTCGTCGCCAGGACACAGTCAAGAGTCTTGAGCCTGCAAAGAATCACGGGATTGCTAAATATAATTATATTGTTGGACCACAAGGGACCGTCGCGGCAGTGAAAACGTACCTCTTAGTTTGTTCTTGTTCTTTATTTTAACGCGGTTGCTTAATGATCTGTACTGGTTCAACTCTCTGGACTGACTARCTACTATTATTCTTACATTGCTTGATATACGTTTACAAACTTAGACGAAACCCAAATAATAATCTGATATTAACTAAAACAATAACCAATTATGGCATAGCTCCACACTGAGGGGAATTCCCCATTTAGGACGACCTTGGCTTATTCTACAAATATCGATCACGTGAACATTTTTAAACTGCGTCATAAACTTAAACTAAAATAATTACTTACAAAACTATAATAATAATGATATTTGAACATTTCACAATCATTCTGTAAATTCAGTACTGGTCTTAACCCKAMAGCATAACAATTGCTGGACATTAAAGTTACTGGTAATTCAAAACTATTTTTCCTGGTAATCTAAAACTACAAGTACATGAATTGGCATATTTCAATTTCCARACYWAACTATAAAACTRCTGACGAATCACTTAAACTGAGATCTACTATTAACTTATTAACATTGCATTAACTAAATGTCAGAGAGACGTAGTCTAACATACTCCCCCGCCTAGTTTGATGTATCTCCTGGTACATCGCTAAAATAAAACACTACACATTATCAAAATATACTACATAAATAAACTAACTATTTATTATTCAATGTTTTTTTTTCCTTTTTGTTTGTTCGTTGCATATTGTTKCTGTTGTTTTTGTTTTATTTATTTATTTTTTCCTTTCTAATACTACACAAACGGTGTACACTTCACCGGTGGTGGTCGGATTCCCATTGGGATTAGGAAAGTTGCGGTTGTTTGTAGGTAAATTGGTAGGTAACCATCTGGGGGCGTTTCCTCATCGTTCTGGCCATCATTGATTGGCCATACCTTTGCTTCACACCCCGGGTATGCCAAGACGAATTTTGTTACGATGAACTTCAGTAGGCATTCTTCATGAATTATCTTCCCGCAACAGGGCATGGAGATTTCTAAATAACTGGAGTACCAGTGCTTACACCAGGCTCTATCACACCTGCCCCGCCGGTATGGTCTATTTACCATTGCTGTAAATATATAAAGACATCCTTACCACTTGCAAGGTCGCCAAAATTTGAACGTCGGGCAATCGTTACATATTATACCAATGTGTCAATGTTCATTGTCTATGTTTGTAGTTAACTGGTATTATGTTCGTTCCGGTGTCCTTTGTCGTTGCACGTTGTCTTAATATTGATTAACAGTTAGACTGCTAACGTCCTTTGTTGCGTTTATGTTCAATGTTTTTCGTTTGTAACCAATATATAGAGTATACAACTTTATTCGTGTCTGTTATCCGTGACTTGCTGAGTTCAGTGATAACTATGGGAATCCAATTCTGCACCTGCAATCCGAACACATTCAAGCAATCCCACCAAATGCTTACCAAAAAGTATTAATKCGGAAAASTATTCTACATGCTTGCGTAAGGGCATGTTRTGACTACAAGGTCACGCTTGCTGTGCTTACTTAATACAAACAATGTTTCAAATTCTAAGGTTAAGTGGTGCTAAGTGCTTTAAGTGCAGAGAGATTCCCCGGTGACAATCTCGTCGCGTTACTAAAGCTACGTTGCGCTAGGTTAAAAAGATACAAGCAAATTATTCTGCGTATATGCGTTACTTGTGAACTCTATTTCCGCATGATTTGTGAATGCACTATGCATCTGAGAACATAAGGTGCGGTACGCACGACAAATTTTGCTGTTAGTTTTGTCAACTGCTTTGCTTCTGTCACAGAGTAAACTTACATGCTAAATGTTTTCTGCTGTCTACATGCGTACTACCTTATTTTTATTTCTTATTCCTTCAATCCGTGTTTCCTATGATCCAATTCATACCTATCTGTCTATTTAAAAAAAATATACCACTCCACTTACCATACTTACCATGTGGTGTTTTGAGCTCATGATGATGATTCGTGG